CTAGGGCCACCTTGCTGTAGATGGCCAACTCGCTGCAGCCATCTCGTGGCCAATCCACCGCAGCCATCTTGCGATAGCCAACTTGCCACGGCCAACTCACCACAAGAAAACTCACTCCCAGACAACTCATTGCAGGATAATCCACATGGGGTAACTCCATGCAATAAATATTATCTGTCACTGTTTCTTTGACATTATTTCCATTGACAAAAGTGGAAAATAATGAATTAATGTTCAAAACATTCAGCATTGCCATTTTAAGATTGGAAGGTTTATGGACAAGTTTTTGTGAATCCTCGTAGTGATGCATTGACTGCTTTACCAGCCTTTTTAGAAAAATGCATTTTTTTAAAATGATTTTTTTCCCCCCAGCTTTGCAAAATGAATGTTAAAACTAAAGAGACATGGGTATGGCAAGAACCAGATACATATCCCTCTGAACCAATCTTTGTTCCTCAACCAGAAGCTATAGAAGAGGATGATGGTAATGTTATGACTTTTTGATTCAAGTTTAGAAAAGGGCTTTGTCCAAATTTGGCACTATACCTATGAAAAGGACTTAATATCTTAATTTATACCCACTATTTCCTGGGGGAATAATGCAAAAATTAGCATGTTTCTGAATTACTGTATTTTCAAACCTACTATCCATTATAAAAGTTTTGTGTTGTTTAAGTAATTTGCATTTATTTTGATACAGGTATTATCCTGAGCATAGTCATCAGTCCTGGCTGTGGACCAAAGCCTGCCTACCTTTTGATTCTGAATGCAAAGAATATGAGTGAGGTTGCTAGAGCACAAGTGGACATAAATATCCCAGTTACTTTCCATGGACTCTTCAAAAGAGCATGATGTCTGTCTTGAATACACCACCATCTTTCTTTTTAATACAATGTGCAGAACAACATAAAGCATTCTTCTAATTATCTGCCAGTGACTTGCAAAATTAGTTAACATTAGCCATTTCATGTGCTGAGGCCCAATTTTAATATTTTAATACTTAAGAAAGTATCCATTTTTAAGAATGCTTTCATGACTGTATCATAAATAAGGATAATTAAAAGTTGTTAGTACTGTAGATGCTGATGAACAGCATCAGCATTATAATCTCAGTAAAATTCAGATAAACATTTACAATTTAAAACTGTTAAAATTGTTCGGTAATAGAACATGGGTGAAACACAACAACCTTGAACTCTGGCAGATTAAGTAGTGAATAGAAATAAGTATTTGGCAAAATATTAGTTTGGAAACAACTGTAGATTTCTTATAGTTTTAATATTTGAACGTAAATTATTTTTAAAAATTGAAATGAAATCATTCATCTTTGCCACTTATCAGAGAAAATGATACTTTGAATTTGATCTCTCTGATACCATAAATATCTTTATTTTACAAATGATTTGTCTAATAAACATAATGTAAAATGTGAACATTTTTAAAAAATATTCATAGCTTCTCATCTTCGACTGTGCTACAGGTAGTCCTTGACAGTTCATTTAGTGATGGTTCAACGTTACAGCACTGAAAAAAGCGACATGACCATTTTTCACACTTACCACTGCAGCATCCCCATAGTCACATGATCAAAATTCAGATGCTTGGCAACTGACTCATATTTATTACGGTTTCAGTGTCCTGTGGTCATGTGATCACCTTCTGTGACCTTCTGACAAGCGAAGTCAATAGGGAAGCCAGATTAACTTACAACCTTCTTACTAGTTAATAACTGCAGTGATTCACAACTGTGGTAAGAAGAGTCTTAAAATAGGGCAAAATTCACTAAATAAATGTTTCACTTAGCAACAGATATGTTGGGCTCTATTGTGGTCATAATTCGAGGGCTACCTGTATTTGTATCTTTAGATTTCAATAGAATAGAATTCTTTATTGGCCAAGTGTGATTGGACACACAAGGAATTAGTCTTGTTGCAAATGCTCTCAATGTGCATAAAAGATATTCGTCAAGAGTCAAAAATCATAAGTTACAACACTTAATGATAGTCATAGGGTACAGCACGCAATCAAATACTAGGAAACAGTCAATATCAACTGTAAGGTTACAAGCAACAATGTTAAAGTCATATAATCACAAGTGGGAGGGACGGGTGATAAGGACTGATGAGATTAATAGTAGCACAGAGTTTGTAAACAGTTGTACAATGTTGATGGAATTATTTGTTTAGCAGAGTGATGGCATTCAAGAAAAAACTGTTCTTGTGTCTAGTTGTTCTGGTGTGCAATGCTCTATAGCATCGTTTTGAGGAAAGGAGTTGAAACACTTTATGTCCAGGTCTATAAATATGTTCACAGCCCTCTTTTTGACTCATGCAGTAAACAGGTCCTTGATTGAAAGCAGGTGGGTAGTAATTGTTTTTTCTTTTTTTTTGCAGTCCTAATTATCCTCTGAAGTCTGTGTCTGTCCTGTTGGGTTGCAGAACCAAACAGACAGTTATAGAGGTGCAGATGACAGACTCAATAATTCCTCTGTAGAACTTGAGCTTTCTGAATTGGCGCAGAAAGAACATTCTTTGTTGTGCTTTTTTATGACGTTTTTGATGTTAGGTATCCATTTTACGTCTTGTGATATGATAGAACCTAGAAATGTGAAGGTCTCCACTGATACTGTGTTGTCTAGTATTGTAAGAGGTGGTAGTATGGGAGGGTTTCTTCTAAAGTCTACCACCATTTCTACGGTTTTGATTGTGTTCAGTTCCAGACTGTTCTGGTTACACTATGAGGCAAGTTGTACAACCTCCCATGTTTATGTGCATTCGTCGTTGTCTCGAATGAGACCAATCACTGTTGTATCATCTGCAAACTTCAGTATTTTAACAGATAGTTTGAGATGCAGTCATTGGTATATAGGGAGAAGTGGAGAAAGCACACAGTCTTGTGGGGGCGGGGCTGTGCTAATTGTACAGGTATCAGACTTGATTCTGCCTAGCTTCACCTGCTGCTTCCTGTCTGTTAGGAAGCTTATGATCCACTTACAAGTGTGTTCAGGTACCACTAGTTGGTTTAATTTACTTAGAAGTGTGTCTGGAATGATAGTATTGAATGCTGAACTAAAGTCTACAAAGAAGACCCTTGTGTAGGTATTTGGAGATTCAGGGTGTTGTAGGATGTAGTGCAGAGCCATATTAACAGCATCATCTGTTGATCTATTTGCTCGGTATGCAAACTGCGTGGGATCTAACAGTGGATCCGTGATGGTTTTCAGGTGGGACAGTACTAGCCTTTCAAAGGTTTTCATAACTACAGATGTTAGAGCAACTGGTCTGTAATCATTCAGTTCCCTCATGGAGGACTTCTTTGGCACTGGGATGATAGTAGAGCATTTCAACACTTATATATTCATAGAATATATTCACAGTATGTTCTGTATAAACTCTGGGAAGTGAAAATCTTTATAGCTAGAAAAAGGGTTTTGATATCAGTTGGTGAAAAGATACAAGAAGATCCCTTAAAAATTATATTGCTCTACTTCTGGCATATATATATATATATAAACTCCTAGATTAATCTGTTAAAAGGATTGAAGTGCAGAATACTAGTTTTTGGCATTTTTGAAGTTTTTTCAAAGTTGCTTTAAATCTTTGAAACCTTTTTAAAAAATATATAATTTCTTGATTATATAAATTCTACATAATAGTGTTATAACACTGGAGTTACATTGGGAAGTAAAAAGTACATTTTGAAAAAGTCAGTAGCTTTTCTTCTATATTGTTGCCAAGATCACAGATGGATATATCACATTGGGCAGAGGATTGACGAGTGTCTGCACTTTTACCTATAACATATATAGATAAGAAAAACACATGATTAAATGACAACATGTATAGTTGTTACATCAAGGTACTTTTTATATGGTGATGATATTTTACTGACAACTTTAATATATTATTATTTGACATCAGCCCAATCCGATATTCAAACTCAGTTATTTTTAGCCAATTTACTTGCTTACATTCTCATGATAGGAAAAGAAGATTATTGCAAGGGCATTATCCGGTATCTTTGTTGCTTCATAATTCTTAAACATTGTCCAATAACCTGTCAAAAGATAAAATTAGTATCAGTGATAATAAGTTGAATTCAGATCAGGAGAGAAAAAGTAGGATGATACAGAGGTTTTCATGTGCATTATCAAAGCCATGTGCCAATGAGAAAGAATGGATATCTCAGGAAAGAGACAATATAGGACATATTGAAATTAGTGAAAAATACTGCATTTTAATCACAGATTCTCTTATATATTTAGTTTAGTTTACTCTACTGTCATTCCACCTTGTATAACAAAATTAAATACCATCTTCACTGTACATTATGACTATGAAAATAAACACAAACACACATCCTTCACATTCTATATATTGAATTGAAAACCTGATATTGCATTAATATTGCACTATATAGTAGAATTCAATAGAGTTACTGCCCTGGGACAGAAGTGGTTTTTCAGCCTATTTGTCTTTGTTTTTATTATCTGTATCATCTGCCAGATGGTAATAGTTTAAAAGTAAAAGGGTGCCCAAGATGAGATGGATTTTGAACCTTCTTAAGGCAGTGGGAGCTATAAAGCTTTTCCAAAAAGGGGAGAGGGCAACCACTGATATTCTGGGCAATGACATTAAACCTCTGGAGTGCTGTCCTATCTGCCACTGTGCAATTGGCAAACATATTAATGTTTAATACATATTAATATGAAAAGAGCACATAAATTTCTCAGTGATCAATACCAGTAGCACAAACATTGGACATATGAAATTGAATGTATGATAGTTATTTGGATGATAAGTATATGTTTGCTATTATTTATAGAGGAAAACACATTTATTCAACTTTTTTAATAGGAACCAAATCTATTTTGACAGGATTTTAAGATCATATGAAATTAAGATAATCCTGTAATTCTGTAATCCTATTAATGTCTTAAAGAATCTTTATCCCAAAATTCAGGTATTTCAAACTGTTGGTTTGTACAAATAGAACAATCCTAGACAATTTTTGTCTAGGGGTTTTACATTCCTGATTACTGCATTCTCGGAAACTCTCATGTTTCTCATCATGACATCAAATGAACCATATTTTCTTCATAGAAAAATACCCACTACATTTTAATATTGCATAAACAAATGGCAATATCTTCTGAAAATATTCCACTACAAAAATGTATTGCATTAAATGTAGTTTTAAAATAGAAGAAAAGCCAGGATGGATACATTATCTCCCTACTGATTCTATCAGCAATTATGCACAAGTCTGCAATCTTAGCCCTATATCCGTCTGAAATGTGCCTCTGACATTGTGGACCACCTTTCCCCAACAACTGTTTCCATAAGAGAAGATTAAAGACAGGATGAAAATTGTCTAATACCATAGGTTTCTTGAGAACAGAAAAGAGCACTACTTCCTTAAGTGCTGGCAAGGCTATTCTCTCCTTCAAAGATAATCCATCACCACCTGGATCCAATAATGTGTTTTCGTTTGGAAAATCTTGATCAACTAGGTGGGACATGAATATAATACATAGTTGGCTGTGCTTACAACCCCAAGGACCTTGTCTACCTTTTAAGTTCATATAACCAAGTCCATATAACTAACTTCCCAGCTCAAGTACCTTTAAGACTGTTACTTTAAGTCCAACTCAAAATGAAACCAAGTAACTTTAATAGATGCCTTAAATAACCTACGCATGGCCCTATGGATGTTTTTCCAGTTCCTCCTTACCAAGGAGGGATTGAGTTACCCCAAACAGGATTGCTGACTATCTGCAGACATGGTAAGAAAACTAATTCTTTTTTTTCACTTTTATTATTTCAAAGTAATTCTTAACAAAGCATTACTTGTTTTTTTTTTAATTTGTTCTTTGGATACCTTGCTTTCCACTTTGCCTGAGTGAACTTAAAGAATTTTATTGTTTTAAAAGAATGTTTCATTATAATCTTCATCATATGAAAGACTATTGCACATCTATCTCTTGTGATTCCACAATATTTTCAGAACTCCTGCTTTTCTGGGTTTGGAATAAGAAAATCCAAAAAGGACACTTATTTGTCTTTCCTTAGAACAACAATGAAGGTATGTTGATAGAAGGAATAAATGCTCCAACTGGACAAACTAGGAATGTAAGGAGGTAGTCTGATTACTGGTAGTCTACTAATCTACTCTACAGTAGTCTACAGCAGCTTTGTTTTTTTAAACTGAGCAATCATTGGAAACTTTTTATCAACTGAGTAAAAGCATCATCTCTACCAGGCTCATAACACTGGTTAACAATAAAATAAAGAAGGAAACATAATATAATTTGGACCACAATTCAAACCACAATGCCTTCCGAAAGTGTAGGTATCCATTTCCAAACTTTCTACAGACACGGCCATAGGTGAGATTATAAGAATTAACATATCCAAAGGATGCCGAAGTTAAGATAGATTGCATGATCTCCTTATTGTTTCCAGATCTAAGAAAGCAATTGATGGTAAGATTTGTCTGGAGAAAAAAAGCATTATGTTGAATACTTCACAATGTAGTAATGGATAAATCAGTCTATGAAGTCTGGTAAGATTAACAAATTAAAATTGCACAGGTGGTTTAAAAAAGAAAAATAAACTGCAATTTTAAAAATGAGCTTTGGGGGATAAATTAACAAAAAGAAAGAAAAGTCCTGAACACACACTTAGTGCATACCTTCCTTGAACTCTGGGGCAAGATTACTCCATCATCCCAGATTCTGGCAGAAGAGTAAAGTGCAGTACTTTCATTTTGCAGCCTGAAAATATAAGAATTTGTTTTTTAAGAGATACATAGCTATAGCTTCAGGTTTATATAAATGACGGAATTATTATGTGCTTAATGAACAAATGACAACATACAGATTTTTTTTCCCAATAATGAGAAGCAGAGATTGATCATTAGGTATGTGCAATACCCACTGTTGTGGGAATGTATCATTCTGGAGAATTCTGAAATATTCTATTTCTTCTCTAGACCACATTGATTCTACTATCAGATGGTGGTTTCTGGAAGTTCACTTTACAAGATAGAAACAATCTATGCTATGCTGGAATGCGCAGATCAAACCAGATCTGTTTCTGTCTAGGTCATCAGGAAATTACAAATCCACCATGAACAACTATTTTGCACTGAACCCTTAGAGCCCAACAGCTATCAAGACAAACATTTTAGCTATGGCTCATTTTGAGCCATTTCTCTGGGTCATCAGTTCCTCAATCCATAAATTCTCTCTAAAATACAACTAAAATGTGTCCTTCACTCCCAAAAGACTGCCCATCTTTAATATAATTACTTTGCCAAAGCATTTCCAGCACAAAAGATGCAGTAAAGACCATTCAAATGTTTAAAGTTTAGAAGTTACACATTGAAATCCAAACAGAAATGTAGTATCATTAATAGAATTGTAATGTCAATGCTTTAATGTTTTAATACACTTACTTTCCTTTTAATACTTTAAAGTCTATTTCTGTATCTGAATAGTTATTGTTCCACATTTGTGTGAATGTGAAACTACGTCTTGAATCCACAAGGGCAATTCTTGCATTCGGCCAAAGAAACAGAAAGTTTGGATCAAACGATCTTCCACACTGGAAGTTTAATATAAAAGTTTAATATAAAAGCAATGAATTCAGAACAAAGCTCATTTTAAGCCAGCTGAACAAATTGATGACTTATGGATAACAAAGTCACAGAAAGACTAGGAAACATAATGGCAGCACTTGGCTCAAAAATTAAGTAGGATCAAGGTTGATAGTACTTGGATAGAAGATACTCAAGAATAGCAAGGATGCAATATTGGTAAGTTAAAAAAATTTCTGAAAGAGGGAAATGGCAAATCAATTCCATATTACTGCTAAGGATATTAAATGGATGAGTCAATTTCATCACCAAGAGATAGTTTTCATTTCAGAAACATAATTTTTATCTTAATAATTGCACGGAAATACTTAACGGGTTCCACATTAGAGACCTAAAATGACTGCAACAGCTATAGCACTAATTAATGTATATATTTTATGAAAAAGTATCATGAAGCTGTTAAAGAAAAAAGGAGGGAGCTCACGTCAAATCTCATTTTCTGTTTCCAAGCTATTAATTGTTGCAAAGCTACTGAACATCGGCTATTTTACATTGTTTTTATTATATGATAGAGACTATTCATTAATTTTATAAAAAGTGCTGTGCTGTGACTGTTTGGAATTGGTGATTAGGACAGGCAAGCTGATTCTCACACATAATATTCTGACAACCTAAAATATCCTCAGGTCTGAAGAATACTTGGAGGACTTCTAATCAAAGAGCAAGAAACCTCAGATCATCCCCCACTCCCCTCCAAAAACAGGATGTTCAGCATCTTACCATAGCATAACTTTCATTTCCTAAGCAGCCACCAATCACAACTGTTATTTTTGGTACAGAGGCACAGGCAACTGCGGCCATCATGGAGGCCTGTGCCTTTAACCTATTAGCTTGATCTTCTGCCTAATTTAAAATGCAAACGATTGAGAGTTATTTTATTTTACAAAGAGAGGTTCTATTTATTCCTTTTAATTAAAAGTTCACTTGATTACACTGCTCAATCAGCTCTGGTTTGGAATGGACTGAGAAGTTGCAAACAAATAAAAATAAAAATGCCAGAAAACGTCTCTCTCCTAATATCCTGTGAATATTTCCTGTTAATATCTAATCATTCCTCGGGTGCTTTGTTTTTAGCATGCACACACCCACATGCACAAACACAAGAAATAAAAAGATATGACTTTTCAAAACAAATCCAAGCCATATTGCTGGTGAATAATTATCACTAGAGGTAAATATATAATTTCTTATGTTCTAGCTTGGCACTACAATTTTCACTTACAAACATAAATTGTCTTTACTGTTCATGCATCCTTTTTCTATAAAGTGCTGTTAAATCAATGGAAGGGAATCCCAAAGGTGCTTTTTCAAGAGGCAACTGTACTTTCTGTTTTTTTCTTTGAAGATGTTTTGCTTCTCATCCAAGAAGCTTCTGCAGCTCATTCCTGGATGAGAAGCAAAATGTCTTCAAAGAAAAACTAGAAAGTCCAGTTGCCTCTTGAAAAAGCACGTGTGGGACAACCATGACCTGAATGATTGAGAATTTCCATAGGCAATGGAAGGGAACTAGTGGGGGCCCAAGCTAAACATGGACAAAACATCACAAGATCAATTGAGGAAAAAGAATAAGTTCATTGGTGTTGGTATCTTGGGTCATGGACAAGAATATCCCTTGTTAGTTATATTCTTAAATCTGCATGGATATGGAAAAGAAACTTACTTGATCTATGACTGAGATGCATAAAAACAAAATAGTTATTTTAATAGAAAATCCAGCAGTAATGAATTAGAGCTCCACAGGAGAAACAAGATATAATATCTCAGGATAATTAAATGTAAAGGTCCTTCAGTTGTTCCCTTCATTTCTCTCAGAATCTACAACTATCAAAAGTGACAACCAGTTTGCTAAAAGTTATAAAGAAAAGTATGTTTTGGTTTAACACTAATTACAAACCACTTGCCTCTCTCCTAGGCAAATAACATCCTGTCAAATATTTCACAATAATATCTCATGGTGTAGGGTCTTCCGCTTGGGCGGTGGGGGGAGGGGTTGGACTAGATGACTATAAGGTTCCTTCCAAGTCTGATTATCTGTTATCTGTTAACATCATTCCTTGGTTGATATACAATACTCAAATAAAAATGGCCTCGGTTATTGATTTTCAGATCTAGATATTGAGAAAAATGCCTACAAAGAATTCCTGCCTATTGCAATTGTATATAGCTATACTAAAAGAAAAAATAGAATCTGTGAACATGGTTTTTTTTAAAAAAAATCCATAACACCCACGCTTAATAGGTGGCAGTACCAAATTGACCGTACTGATTTAAACATCGAAAGAAAGATTGACCTGGTTATTACTAGGATAGTGAGATATGCCAGAGCTATAGGACAAATTTGAAAAAAACATTCCCCAAAGGCATTGGAAAAACCATTTCTATACTGCTACCAAGAAATCCATAGGGGACATATGTGAAATCACTGTGAGAAGCTATGCTTTTACCTGTTTTTATGTTCTTCTTGAAGGAAAACTGATCATTACTGAGATAAAGGTTGCTTGGAACAGTTTAAACGACTACTATCCTAGATCTTTCTCATACCTCTACTTGGCATAATAGATATTGACTTTTCCTCAACTACTTGGGGCAGTGGAGATCTTATTATCAACACTCTGATCTTTTGAACTAATAAAGCTGAGCTTCCAAGTTACAGCCAACTGAAAACATTCTGTACTAGTTACTTACCTGCATGAGATTGGTTGTCTCTGCAGTATATGGAGCAGTATTCATGAGAAACAGGATAGGAATGTTTCTTTGGCTACAAAGCTGTACGAAATGGCAACCTTTTAGAGAAGCATTCTGTGTCAGCTCACCATTGTTAGCCACTATTCCAACAAGCTCCCTAAGAAAAACATAAAATACAATCTGTACTGCAAGAACACTGGACATCCTGAAGTCAGAACATTGAATGTTCTCTAGACATTTAATAAAATCACCTTATAACAACAATTTAAAAAGCCATTTTACATCAACCCTACATACAGTTTTTTATTAAAAAAATACTTTTTTTGGAGCTAAGCCAATGTACTTTTTAATTTTTAAAAGCTAGACCTGTATTTATTTCAATTTTATAGAATTAAGCGAAACATAACAAGTAAACCAAGCTGAACATTAGAAAAGACAATTTGACATGAAATATTAGTGGGGAAAAAACAGATTAAAAAGAATCCCTCAATTTGTTTTGAGATAAGACTATTTCTTGGAAGAAATTATGAGATGCATGTAATTAAAATTATTAAATATAAAACCATAACATAATATGTGTACATTTTAATACATCCTTTAATTAAAATATAATTGTAAAATGAGGATGAAAAATAATATCTAGACTTATTGGCTAAAGATCTAAATAATTTAACCATTAACTAATTTAACTCCTTTGCAAAAATACTGTAAAAAAGCTTCTGAAAATATGTCTGATCTGCACACAAATTAGTTTGGGGCTTAACAATGCAGTGGGTTATATTTTTGCAAGTTGTGTATTCAGTAAATACTACCTGGTTCATCAAAGGATGAATACATAAAGGAAACACTAGTTTCTACTAATGTTATATTTAAACAAAAAAATACAGACAAATCAGTTTCAAGTACCAATACAGGAAATAATTAAATATATTTGCTACAGGATTTGAAGCTCTTGGTGCATTTTTAGCAACAAATGTTGCCCTAACTTATTTTTATGTTGAACCATTAAAAAAGCATCTTAATAATTACGTTTTCACCATTCGGGAAATCAAGGGATCCAAAGTTGCACTATGCTTTATTAATCCTGGCAAAATAATTTACTTTCTAACCCTATTTCAAAATCAGATTAATATTATCAGAAAGTATTAGGATCTAAAAAATAGAGAGAGTAGAAAAGGACTTGTTATGCATCATTATTAGTACTGTGGTATCTAATACAAACATACAACATCAATGATAATCTGGTTAGCGCTCACATACCATTAAAAAACCTTTCCCCTTTTACAACCCTGTAATCCCTTAATCTGCGGTAGAGTCAGGGTGACTGGATGGAGCTGAGCGTTTTTAGGCTGAATGTCCAGCATTCACACACCATATGCAGTAAAAATATTATTATAGGGAAAATGAAAAAGCAGATTTCCCTAGGAACTGAAACAACAACAATAAGCAGGGGACTGCAACTACCCAATGATTTTATTATCTAAAATAGTGTTTTTTCAATCTAAGGATTGAAAAATACTAAGGAGAATCCTTAGGATTTATTGGAACTTGATTAGGATCCATGAGAAACTAAGGACAAAAATAAAAGCTCACTTCAGCTGAGTGAATTTTCTATCACAAGACCTTTATTCTCTCCCCTTTTTTTAAACCAAGGCGTTCCCCAGTTTGAAAAACTGTGAGCAGCATTGATCTAAGGAAGCTTATAGGGCTTCAGTTAAGAAAATACTCCTTTCTGAATATGATTTTTGGATGCTGGCAGTAATTTGCAGCACATAGGCTTCCAATTTTAAAAAATTAAAATATTAATCGAGGAGCTTTTAATGTTGGAACGAGCAAAGAGCCTAGTGTGTGTCAAGAAAGGTCTTACAGACTAAAAAAAGGCATAAGGGAAATAACACTTGGCCCTAATTAAAATTAAGATAACAATAAAAGTGGAATATATCTGATTTTTGCAGATACATGTTTTTACAAGGATAAAGTACATCTGATTCTTATTCAGTAGAATTATTTTCAGTGCAATTCTATCAACTTAATTAAGAAGTAAATCCTGCAAAGTTCAAAGATGATTACCTCAGTATAAGCATACTTAGGATTTCAGCATCTAAAATGTGCACATATTACAATACTGGGGTTATCTAAATAAAAGGACTCAATTACGGTTTATAAAATTAAATAATTTATTTTGAATAATGCATTCATAAAAGTTGTTAAAATAACTTGGCCCAGTAATTTTATATTTCATTCTCACCCTTCTATGTAGGCAAATCCTGTTACTAAAGTTATGCCATAATTAGCTTTGAATTCTTGAAATCTGCTGCCATCTATTATCCGACTCAGAATCTGTAAAATATTGTTTAAAGAAATGAAAAATCAGCATGGTCACTTTTCTTTAATTAAAAAAAATGGCTCATTTTCAGTTTTGTTTGATAAGAAAATCAAATCAAACACAGAATTACGAATAACTTTTTAAACTGATGCTTAGGCAACAAATGCATACTCAGAATTTTATTTTATTTTTAGACCTGAAAATCCTTCTTTTTATTAATTAAATCACCTTAACAGAATATCTTAATGTAGAGTCCTCTTTGAGGGAAATGCGTGTTTCACAAATCTGAAAAATTAATTAATTAATTAAAATATAATTGCCAGTAACGATAATGACACTAGTCTGTTACATCAAAATTAATAGAAATCCTAATAAGTCCCTAAACACTTTTTTTTGTAACTATAACATCTCTGGAATCTTAGCCAGCTTTTTTAGATTTATCCTATAACCATCACTGAAAAGTAAAATTATATGTGAAAATATAGGTTTATATTTCATATATGAAATAGACTCTGACTCACAAAAAATAGACCATAATAAAACTTGTTAAGATTTTAAAATGCTCTAGCTATTGTTATTGTTTTCTGTAATAAGCTTCCATAAATGATCTAAGCCGGTTAAGAATCTCAAGAATTCTGTTTTAATCACTGTTTTAAGTTGCTCAGTCTTCCTATATCAGAATGATGTAAATCAATTTAACTGTATTCAGACTTGCAACTGGATTCTTACCAATTTTATATGTAATGTGTAACTATAATCTTGTGGTGCAAGTCCTAGGAGGTCATCATCACCATACAAGGGATTATCAAATTCTAGATTCTCTTCTATAGGAAGTACATAATTCAGTGTTGAAATAGCATTTTTGATATATTCAAATGCTTCTTTTTCAGAAGTTGCAAAATGATCAACACAGCCACTGACCCTAAAAGAGAGATTTCCTTGATATATAAAACTAGTATAAAAGACAACATTCAGGTTAAACCATTAAAATATTAATAATGAAAGCATGAAAAATAAAGATTTATTTTAAGTAATAGCTAGAGCCATGAAAAACATTAAATATTACTTTTTATTATGCGACTTTAAAATGCTGATTTGAAAATATTGCCACTATATAAAAGCTTTTATGAAATACAGTAATTTGAATAGATGCATGCCTGTGTTCAAGGCAACTTTGCAGTCACTCTTCCTAAGTCAGATGACTTCTCACGTGTGACTTAGTTACAGGGCAATCTGGATTTGAAAGACAAAATGTGATTTGGCTTGTGCTTAAGTAGCTATTACTTAAATGTTCATTATGATGATCATGTATCTTCACTGGAAGTCCTACCCAGAGATAAACTGACATTGACTGACATAACCGGAAGGTTGTTAGAAGAAGCAAGAAGATGGCTGGATAGGGACCAACTGAGGAAGGAACAACCACAAGAAGAGGACTTGTCTTCAACTGTCTATACTGTTAGGAAATGTTTTTCTTGTGGGGCTAGGGGACATATAGCTAGATTCTGTAAGAAGGGAAAACAACAGAATACTAGTAAACACCAGAAAGCTAAGAAGCATGTTAGTTTAGCTATGTCTAGCAATTCAACTGTAAACCATGATTTGTGGGTTGTTGATAGTGGAGCATCACAATGCATTATTAAAGATAGAAAAAGGTTTGTAAAGATGTCCATGAGTAAACAACATGTATCATTGGCAAATGGATGGAAGATGAACGCATCAGGTGAAGGTACTGCATATTGTTCTTGTATAAACGAACATTTAACTATGTTATATGTACCTAAACTGAAATTTAATTTGCTATCAGTAAGGGCTTTAGTTAATCTTGGTTATGTAGTAACCTTTAGGGGAGATAACTGTATAATAGAGAAAAAGGGTAAAAGTGTTACTGCTAATTTAGAGAATGATTTATATGTGATACATGATGAAGATGGCTAACTCAGTTTATAACAATGTTAAGCCACATGATGAATGGATACATTTATTACATTGACGTATAGGGCACATTAATTTCAAAATGCTCAAACAAACTGTTGAATTGTCAGAGGGAGTAAAATTGAAACCCTGTAGCAAGTATTTATACTGTAATGCTTGCAGCCAAGAGAAGAGTAAGATTACTCCAGCAAACAGACTAAATGGATTTAAGACCAAAGAACCTTTAGAGGGTTTTTTGCTGACATAATTGGTCCTAAGAAACCAAGTTTAGGAGGTGCCTGTTACATTTTGAGTATTATGGACCATTATTCACAATATGGTTTCTGCTATCTTATGAAAAACATAACAGAAACATTCCAACATTTCTTTAACTAGCTAAGGTTTGCTGAGAGAAAAATGAAAAGTAAAGTAATTACTTTAGTTACTGATAATGGGACTGAGATTGTTAACAAAAGATTCCAAACTATGTTGAAATTGGCTGGTGTTGAGCATAAACGTTCTGCACCTTACAGACCACAACATAACTCGTTTGTAGAATGAAGAGGGCAAACATTACAAGCCATGGCTCGCACTATGTTATCTGATTCAGGTTTACCTGAAACACTGTGGGGTGAAGTCATAATGTGTAGTAATCATGTGTTAAACAATGTAGTTAACACAACAACTGGTGAATCGCCATTCACTCGTTGGCATGGCAGAAAACCAAATTTAAGTTCCTACACACATTTGGAGCTCCAGCATGGGTGCATATTCCCTCACAAGTAAGACTGAAAGGGCAACACAGAGCTAAGAAGTTATTTTTTGTGGGTTATGTATATAGATCGTTTAGATTTTGGGATCAAGGCACAGCTCATATTTATTGTAGTACTAGTGCAAAATTTCTCGAGCACATTGGGTGGGATAAACTGGAACAGGAATCCAGCAATGATATTATTATTGACACCCAAATAGTCCCTAAAGATAAAATCAGCAAACCACAAATAGCCATTAAAGAGGAAGAACAGGAGGAAGTAGGAGAATAGGCACAGGAAGAAATAGAAGAACAGGAGCAGGTGGCACAGATGAGTCCACCAGTAAGCCCTGTTATGCCAAGATGTTCAACCCATGTAACACGACCACCTGATAGATATCAGGCTAATGTCATATGCCAAGTGAATACAGTTCCAAGTAACTATAGTGAACTAAAACTGTATCCTGCTGAGGATCAGGCTGCTTGTCAGAAAGCAATGGATAAGGAACTGGAATCATTAAAAAGACTGGAGGTATATGAAAATGTTAAGTTACCACCAGGTAAACATGCCATAGGATGTAAATGGATATATAAACTGAAGACAGGTGTGGATGGGACTGTTACCCATAAAGCCAGGTTAGTAGCACAAGGATTCAATCAGACAGCAAATGACTATGATGAGGTGTTTGCACCTAGTCTAAAGACTACTACATTAAGGGCAGCATTAGTGTGGGCAGCTAAGGAGGAATACATTGTAAATCATTTGGATGTAGAGATGGCATATCTGCATGCACCGTTGCAACCCACTATATTTAAAGAAACCTTTAGGTCTCAAAAATGATAATACTGATAATAATGATTGCTGGAGTTTGAATTGCTAGACATAGCTAAACTAACATGCTTCTTAGCCTTCTGGTGTTTACTAGTATTCTACTAGAAAAGAGTCTTTATGGCTAAAAGCAATCAGGATATGAGTGGAACCAATGTATAGTTAAAGAATTAACTAGGATAGGTTTTGTAGCTGGCATGGCTGATCCATGTTTGTTTAAAAGAGAAAATAATGATGTAATTTCATTGTTGCTATTATTTACTGATGACATAGCATTAATCACCAAAACTGAACAAGAAGCTACTGAGATAATTTCACTATTGGAAAAGAAATTTAAAATAAAACAATTAGGAGAAATCAAACAATATCTTGGTTTAAAGATAGATAAAACTAGGGGAGGATACAAGATCTCACAGGCAGATAAAATTAACCAATTACTAAAAAGTTTTAAAATGGAACTCTGTAAGCTGGCTAAGACACCAATGAGCCAGGAGTTTAGCCATAGTGATGTTCAAAGTCCTGTTTTCGATAAGAACATTTATCAGTCCTTGATTGGTAGTTTATCTTATCTCAGTAATTGGTCAAGGCCAGACATCGCATACAGTGTTAATCAATTAGTGAGATTTAATGCTGAGCCAACTGAAAGGCACTGGAAAGCTGCTAAACATGTGTTAAGATATCTGAAACAAACAATGCATTATGCATTGTATTTGGAGCCAAAAGATGAACTGAATTTAACTGCATTTGCTGATGCAAGTTTTGCTACAGACATAAATACACGAAAATCTACATCGGATACTGTATTATTGGGGAAAGTATTGATTGGATGGAGGTCTATTAGACAGAAACATCTAAGTTTGTCAACAATGGAAGCTGAATTCTCATGTTTGACTTTATTATGTACAGATTTAGTTTTGTATAAACAATTATTGATTGATATGGGAATTAATGTAACAGATTCTATTGTTCTTTATGAAGATAATCAATCAACAATACAGATGGCTTCAAATATTGCTGCAAAAACAAGAACAAAACACACAGATTTAAGATATTTAAATGTGAGACAATGTGTGCAAAGTACACATAAGCTGGAATACTGTATGTCCAGAAAACAGTATAGCAGATCATTTTACAAAGGCCCAAGGCCCTATAAAGCATAAGGCTAGCTGTGAAGTTTATGGACTTAGAATTTAAGGTTGTATATGCTGTCTTACCCAAAAGGGGAGAATGTTAGGAATATAAGTCACCTAACAGGTATTTGGGTTAGAAATATATAAACCAGAATAAACATTTTAAAACTGTATCTTTAAGGAAATGCAAAAAACTGTAATTGGATGTGGTTTCTCAAATTGCAATAAGATGGAGCCAGAAACTTGGGTTGTTTTGTCTTAGTCTTAGTCTCAGAAGAGTGTGTGTCTGGGTAAGTCTTTGTTTTTCCTTCTGTTGGAGAGTATTGCCGTTCCTTCTAATTGACTGATATTAGTGGATTTGATGTAAGTCTGATACTGAACTGTTTTTGACACTGGACTTTCTAATTGGATTATCCCTGGATTGAAAACTGACTGATTTACCTGTGAATGACTTTTGGATTGCTTATTTTGAACTTTGCTTAAACTTTCTGGAAGTAAAAACCTACATTTACTGTACAGTGTATCTGTGTGTGTGTATTATTCAAACACTACTCTCAAATACGTCTCCCTGTATGCGCTCATTCTCCTAAGGGGGAATTACCTCAACAAGGGTAAAAGAGGAAAATGTGGGCTAGCCTTTCCTACTCCTCCTACAGATCTGTCTATATACTGTTTGTGTCAAAACTTGGCACGAGAACCACCAATATATCCTGGCTTTTTACTATGGTTGATTCAAAGTGGCTTAGTATATCATCCAGAATGAGACACTTTTTTTTCAGATTAGACAAAATGATGTGGGTTATATTATGGAGGGACCAAGAAAAATGGCCTTCTCTGGATGACTCCCTCTCTGTGGAACATCACCCCTGTGGACAAAGCAATACCATTTAGACTTATATACCACTTCACAGTGCTTTACAGACCTCTCTAACTGTTTACAGAGTCAGCAGATTGCTCCCAACAATCTGGATCCCCATTTTACCAATCTCGGAAGGCTGAGTCAACCTTGAGCCTGGTGAGATTCAAACTGCCAAATTGCAGGCAGCAGAAATAGCCTGCAGTACTGCATTCTAACCACTGTGCCACCGCAGCTCATAAGATTGGCCCCCTGCCTTGATTTTCTTTTAAAAAGCCCTGAAGACAGGGGGATATGGAGCCCATTGAGTGGGGTGTTTTTTTATTGTTGTCATGGGGGGAGGATCCATTGGGTTTTGTATCTGGGGATTTAGTTCTGTAAGTAGCCAGAGCAGTGGTCACCAACCAGTGGGTCAGGGACTGCTGGTGATCCGCGAGAAAATTTTGGTAGTCCACAGAGAAATGTCACCCCCAAAGAACCCCCAAAGCAATTAATCCAGGCTGCGTGGGAACACAAGCCTGTGCCACTCACATGGCCCGCGGGATCACAAGGCTTGCATCGCTTGCATTGCGAACAACACGAGGTAATGAGGGTGGGGGGGAGGGCAGAGGGGGGAAACTTGCCCCTCGCCCCACATGCCTGGCCTGGCCACCGGGCTGTTTCTTTCTTCTGTTTTTGGCTGCATGCAAGGAAAACAGCAAGAGTCTTTCTTTCCCCCAAACTCCACCAGAAACGAGTCTTTGGGACCCTGCAAGGTCCCCTGCTCCAAGAGGCTGCGACGGCATGACAAGTCTCACAAAGACTCATTTCTGATGGAGTTTGGGGTATCTTTTATGTATACTGAGAGTATTTGCACCAAAACAAATTCCTTGTGTGTCCAATCACACTTGGCCAATAAAGAATTCTACTATTACTTATTCTATTCTATTCTATTCTATTCTATTCTATTCTGGTGCTTTCCTTGCAGGAAACCAAAAGTCTTTCTCTCTCTCTCTCTCTCTCTCCCTCCCTCCCTCTGAGAATGGAACTGGAGACTGTATCCTGCAATCCAAATAAAGAATGATTGATCAGTAGGAAAATGGGGTGGGGAATTTTCCTGCTGACTTTTTGGGGGATTTTTCCAGGGTCTGCGGGATTTAAAATTATGAGTTTGGTGGTCCCTGAGGTCCAAAAGGTTGGTGACCCCTGGCCTAGAGTCACTGGAGTTACCAGAGTTGAGTGGCCATATCACTATATTACCATTTTGTGTACACCCCTATTCATGCTGTTTTATTTCCAGTCTCCTGACTATTTTGATAATTCTCCTCTGGACATGTTCCAGTTTGGCAATTTCTTTTTACACTGGCTTTGAAATATGCTTTTCAATAGTCTGAGTATAGTTCAGGCAAACCTTCATTATAGAAAATTACCTATGATTGAATGTACTCAGTATTAAGAGCTGAGAAACTAATGTTTTACTTAGCATGCACACTGGCTCCTCCCAATTCCTCAGGATTAGTATCTTCTCCTGTGGCTGCTTTAACTAAAGGGGGACCACCGAGAAACAGTGTCCCAATTTTATCTACAATGGATGCTTCTTCTGACATCACAGGAATATAAGCACCTCCAGCAGTACAAGATCCACATACAATTGACACCTAGAATACACAAGATAGCTGTGTAAGAAAAAAAGTAAGTGAAACGAAATTTAAATTTCTAAGTAAGTTCTAAAGGCATGCTATCTTGATAACATATTCCAGAGAAGCAGCATTTGGTGATTTCAGAAAACCCCATAGTAAACACGAATAAAGATTTTTATTTTAGGATATAGAACCAAAATTCCCTTCTATATTCTACACTACGGTGTGTTAATAAAGAAAGCATGAGTGCACATCTCTATTTATCATGTGACTCTGGTAATGGTGGAAAATCTGTACTTGATTTGATATAATATCCCAAATCAAACACAGACTTTTGGAATTTTGAAATGACATGTTTTTTTCTGAATAATAATTTTATACGACCCACTTACTGTGCCCCAGTAATTCGTTGCAGAGAACAAGATAAAGAAGCTAATATAAATGCTTAATACCTTCATTAAATCAGTAACCATAGAGCTATCTACAAAATGTTTTCTGAATCATAACAGAATTCCAGCAGATGAAAAACAGTAACTCCTATGTGTCTCTTCTGAAATTATTAAGTGCTATGCTCAACAGTTTTTTATTCTTCTGCTTATTACTTACTTTGGCTAAAATGCATTTTGAAACGTACTGTCCAATATAATAATATACCTGAGGGATTTTCAGTGCAGACATTATAGCTTGATTATAGAATATTCGGCCTCCATGGAATTGGTCAGCAAACAGCTCAGCCTAACAATTCAGAGGCAGAAAAGAGCAAAAATAAACGTCAGCAATTTATAAATATAGAGTGTATACATATCATAATTTTGCATTTTAACAAAAGTCATATTACGTTTAGAAAAGCAATGTTATACATGTAGTCCTTGACTTACAATCATTCGTTTAGTGACCAAAGTTACAATGACACCGAAAAAAGGAACTTATGATTGCTTTTCATACTTATGATCGTTGCAGCATGTCTGTGTTCAACATGCTTAAAATTCAGATGGTTGGCAACTGACATGTATTTATGATGATTGCAGTATCCCTGAGTCATGTGATCAACTTTTGCAACCTTATGACAAGCAAAGTTAATAGGGAACACAGATTCACTTAACAACCATGTTATTAATATGTGCAGTGATTCATTTAACAACTATGTAAGAGAAGTTGCACAATGTGGCAAAATTCACTTAAGAGCTGTCTAACTTAGCAACAGAAATTTTGGGCTCAATTGTTGTCCTAAATTGAGGATTTCCTGTACAGTGTTAGCTTTTCAAGATTCTTTTTCATGCAGTAACTGAATAAAGCTAAAGTTTTCTTATGTAAGGCCAACATTTACAAAACCTAGGTCTAGCTAGAGGAAAATGCTTTTAAAATGCTTATCAAAAGTTTGTGAATATACATTATTATCTTTTATTTTATTAAAGTACAGCATTTTCTTTCAATATATTTAAACAGTGTTAATATGTTAGTAAGAACCAGCATTGCATTACAGTTGCCAAAAAAGCCGATGCAGTCCTTGGCTACATCAACAAATGGGTAGCATCAAGATCATGAGAAGTGCTAATATCACTGTATATTGCACTAGTGAGCTCACACCTGGAATCCTGAGGACAGTTTTGGTCACTATAACAATAAAAAAGGATGCTAAGACCCTAGAAAGTATGCAAAGAACAATAAAGTTGAGAAAGAATCCACAGGCTAAATTGTATGATGAATGGTTGAGGGAGCTAGGAATGTCTAGCCTATTGAAGAGAAAAAAATAGGGGGTCATGATAACTGTCTCCCAGTACTTGAGGGACTATCACAAAAGGGGACTGACTCATTCTCCAAAGCACTGAAGGACAAGAAAAAAAGTAATGGGTAGTAGAAGCTTGTTAAAAAGAAATCCAACCTAAAAATAAAGAGAAATTTTCTGACAGTGAGAACTTTTAATCAATGGAATATCTTGCCTCAGAGTTGTGGGTGCTTTGTGACTTGGTTTTCAAAAATAGACTGGATAATCACTTGGCTGGGATGGTATGAGGAAAAGGTTGGATTAGTCATTAGACCTTTGAGCCTCTTCCAGCCCTATGATACTTGTTCTACAGTCCACCTTACAACTGCCAAGACTTATGACTGTAATGGCCAGGCTCCCTTACAGTTGTAAGGACTACCTGTACCTGTATATCTTGAATATCTTGACATATATTAATGAGATGCACATCTATGAGTGAGATGACCTTCAACTTTTTAACCAAAATACTGTGAGAAATGGATAATCTGTTAATTACCCAGATCAAATAGATCAATTGTGGAAATTAAAACAAATGAAAATTTGAGAGTTGGCTTATTGAAGATGGCACATTTTTCACAGTACTTTGGTTAAAAATGCGACGGATCGGCTTATACACCTACAGTATCTGTCTTATATGCCTAAGTGTATACAGTACTTTATATAATATAGCATTTTATTACAACTTATTTGTTATATTATTAATGTTTTACCTGAAGTGGCAAGAATGCTCCCCCACTGTCTACTATGTAGACAAATGGAAGTTTATTTTTAATTGCTATTTCTTGAGATCTTAGTATTTTCTTCAGTGTAATAGGATAAATGGTTCCACCTTTTATTACTGAATCATTTGCCATGAAAGAACACCAGATTCCAGATATTCTTCCGACTCCTTCAACAAAAATGAAAAGTATTATCACGAGAGAAACATTAGCAGGCTTTCTACAAATGTCAATAATTTGTAATTGTATACAATAGTACAGAATATTCCAGACAGTTTTTGATAACTGAGCCATCAAGGAGATAGGTTTCAATATTTGCTACATCACTATGATGATAGGGTTGAAATATATGGAACAAAGCAGAGACAAAACAAGTAATTCTTGTTGTTTTTTTTCAAAATCCCAAAATGTATTAAAACAAAATTATCAAAGCATCTTGAAAGTTCAGTTTGTACCCCAATTTTATTTTGCTCTTTTATTTATTACCTTTGTCTTAAATATAATTACACCTATCAACCTGAACTATTTAATTCATTAATAATTTGGTTTTCAACTGATCAGTCTATAATTTATATTTATTTCTGAATTAATCAATACAATTTTGGAGATTTTTAAATTTTAAATTTCCAATATTTATTCATTAAGTGATTCCAGGTTATTCTATTTATATCTACATTCAATCTACTTGCTGCTGGTATAGCAACAATGTGACTACCAGATCTTCAGCAGTTAGTGGGTTAGGGTCAGAGGATCAGAGACCAATCTTGTCATTTGTTATAACGCCAACAGCAAGTACATGTACAGATGACCAATTGACATACTATGATACAACCAGCAAAGCCACTGGGGCCCTCTGCCTTTATTATCTGATGGTTTCTTAGGCAGTATGTCTTCCCCTCATTCCTCAAGGTTATCCACAAGTTATCCCATTTACAATTTTTCCCAAAATATTGTCCCAGATCACAGTACTAAAATTCAGAGTTAAAATTTAAGATTTTGATCCAATTTCCTGTTTTTGTATATGTTTAACACAGGTTAAATGGATACATTTAAACTTTCTTAAACCATCTTCAAGCAATCTAAAATAAACTAAACATTTCAGCCTTGCATATTCTCCCAATAACATATTGCCATGTTTTCTAGGATCTGTCACCAATAAATATCACAGGTTTTCTCATCATAAATTGTATCATTTTCCCAATCCTGTATATTAAATTCTGCTGCTAATAATTATCTGCCACTTATATACAATGGGCAGTACAACTAACAGAAGACAGAGAGATTAGTTAGGTCTTCAGAAATTTTCAATTACTATATGTTGTTTTAAAAGTATCCATTATAAGCACATCTTCACCTAGAAAAGTGGTTTTTATAAGATGTATCAAAATTAATCCCCCAAATGTGTCCAAGAAGTCACAAAATTCTTATCTCCCCCAATTCTGTATTCAAAAGTAAATCTTTCAATATGCACCAAATTGTTTTTCTTTTTTGTTGCTGTTGTTGTTGACAGCAGGTCCAATTCCTACCAATTCCATCGGAACTGGTTAGGAGCTTTAGACACATACATGTTGATGTCAGTTATAGGTAGCCTTTATTTTATAACTATTTGTTTAGCAATCATTCAAAGTTGCAATGGCACTAAAAAGAGTGACAATAGGTCTTCACCATTGTGACATCTCCACAGCCGCATCTTCAAAATATGGGTGCTTGACAACTGACATGTATTCCCAGTTTGCTTCTGAAGCTGGATTTGTTTAATGACCACATAACTCACTTAACTACAGGAGTTCAATTTTAAAAAGTGGTAAAAAAGATCACAAAATCAGGCACTACTCACTTAACAGTTGCCTTGCTATGCAACAAAAATCCTGGTCCCAATTGTGGCTGTAAATCAAGGACTACTTGTACCGTGAATTTCCACCAAAGATGGGCAAATTTGGAAACTTTATGACCCGTGGACTTCAATTCCCAGAATTCTTGGGCCAGCCATCCCTTATACAAAACTTACCAGTGATACATCCTCCTGCAGGAATATCACCATATGGCATATTAAGCCCTGCAAGAGGAGAAAGCTCAAGAAAAGATTCGTCATCAAGAAGCAATTTTAAGCGTTCATGAACAAGCAATTTCTTTTTCGTCTGTGTATGAATCAATACTGTACTTTTTCTTCTGCTTTTGCGGATCTTCTCAGACAGCTCTGAATATCTAATATGAAAAAGAAACAGTCAAGAGACCAGAAATGTTTCTCAAATCTCTTTATCAATGTTCTCATAGATGCTAAACAGCAGTATGTATATTATTTTGCTATCATACGGGTATAGATAAGGAAATAATGAGAATGTATATAGATGAAAATTCCAGTTAGTAGTATTACTATTATTTAGTATGTAAAGAAAAATACACTTATATTAGAGTCTAGTAAAAACAATAAAACAGTCTGCATTAGCATGCTTGGTTGTTCATGGTAAGCCAAAATTCTTGGCAAGACTTGCTAGTTCTTGACGTATAAGCATGCAATTCTTGACTTAGATGTGACTACCAGTATGTCTGATCTGTTCTATTATAAAGTCACTAAGAAATATTTTGCCATGATAGTGAATATCCCAGATCTTAAAGAAATCTGCCATTTTAAATTACTCCATTCTCTGATTCTTGGATTTTGGCTTTCTCAAAAGGTTATCTGGAAATTATTAAGGTGTAAGAATTTATGAAAAATTACTCCATTGTTTTCATGTTACTCTTTCAGCTCTTGTTAATGATTCTGAGTAAAGTCCTTGCCTTCTCTGCTTTTATCCATGGAACATGAACTGAAATAAACACCCATTCATTTGGTGGGATTTTACAAAAGATTAATTACAATATTTGAATGTGCATTCAAAACAAAATCTGAGGCCTTTCAATAATATAAAATAGGTATTATTTGTAGTTATTAAAAACATCTAGTTTTGATTACTTTCTTACCCTCATTTAGGTGCTAGAAAGAGAGCTGCTGAATATTTATTTGCCTCTGAAATTATGTGGAAGACATTTAAAGAGGAGGAATTAACTTACATTTATAAATAGCAGTGATATATCTTAGAAGGCCCTTTCTGTAATACCTTTATAAGAATAGAATGTGTTATAATCTTTCATAATATTGATACTTACAACCCTAAATACTATTTAAAGATGTAATGATTCTTCATATTTGCTGTTAAGTAACTCTTCATTCCAAATACTTTGAATCAAATTATTGATTTTAAATATTACATTTTGGCACTATATTCTTGATTATGTTTTTGAGAAGACAATATAATTTTCTGCCATTTTACATCCAAAAATGATCCTAAAAATGTACATAACCTGTGGTTAAAGAATACATTTATTTGTATCTTTATCCATCCATCTTCCATCCTTAATAAACCATGGAAACCTTTTGAATGCAGTGTATGCAAGATGCTTGTGGGAACATCTTTTCTCAATGATTTCTGCCCACCCCACCATATTGACAGAATCAGCATGCACTGGGTTTTATTGGTGAAAGAGTGTCACTTGGTGGGCTCAAGGAAACATTCCCCAATGCACTGGGCCAAGATACTAATGGAGTTCTGATGTATATAAAATTGTATCTCTTACATTATTTGTTTAACATTGATTGTGATTCTGGTTTTTCTTTATATAGTCTGCCCACAGTATCTCTGGTAGATGAGTGCTGATATAAATAGGCTAAATAAAATAAACATTTGTAAAAATAAATTATTGATTATATATAACTTTGATTATGTGCTGACAAGTTAAAAGAAATCTTCAACCTCAGCTAAAGCATACAAAATTGCTTCTGATGCTAATGTATAAAATGCATTTTGTTTATTGTTACTACATATTACATTTTTAAACTCCTGTTTGCTGTACGAAATTGCAATAGTGAGATGAGCAGTATATAAATCAATGCAGTAAATAAATGCATATACAAATATATCACTCCAAACTGATGATGAAGTGAAAGATGAAAGTGGTAGGAATATTGTGAACAAGATAATTACCTTTCAATACATGTCTTGCAGTTCTTCGCATTGCCCTCAAAAACATGTCTACAGAATGAAGGGATTTTACCTTCCAATACAGGAAAATTTCTCATATCCTGACACTTATTTTGTAGGCTAAAAATCACAGGTGTTGAATGCATCTTGTTATGTGGAACTTTATTTATTATTTTTTTTGTAGACTTGTAGTTCAGCAAGTTCCATATTTGTTTGCCCATGTCAGTTTCCTGCCACTGCCTCTTGATGTTTAAAATAATCTGAAGTAGGATGTAAACAAAGGGCACTGTGAATTTCTGGACAATAGAATAAAGGGAATACAGTTCTACATCATTCTGGATTGATAAAACAACAAAAACATTTATTAATAAAACACCCATAATTACAAAATCACATAACCTAATAGAAATCTTCCCCCAGTTTTACGGTCTTCAAATAGGTTGAGCTATACCAACCACAATTTTCTAGGTTATTTCACCAATGACTTTACAAGTTATGATTTCCTGGTATTGAGTCTTATTTTCCATTTAGAGAATATAAAGCTGGGGAACATGTATAACTGGATTCGGTCAACCATTTTCAGTATCATATGAAATCATATGAATCTATTTTAATAAAGTAAACTTCCTATAGTCAATTTCAATCTATTTCAATAAATAAGATATCATCTTAATAGGAAGGGAAGAATCCTAAACATCTTTATGGAAGATTCTATTATCTATTATAGTAGATGATATCCAAATCTTTCCAAAGGCAAAATTGCAAAAAGCAATAAGAAAAAAGCTTCTCCAATTATACCTACCGATAGTAATTTTCTTATATTAAATATAATATTGCTTCTAGTGATACTTGCAAATTAATTCTAAATAAAAGCAACCAGAAATTCAAAAATTAGCATTATTCAATTAAATTATGCCACTCTTATATTATGATTAAATGCTTCTCTTAATAAATCATGCATAATTCATTTACAGTTCTCACAACCCCAATTGAGCCCAAACTCCCACTGCTAAGCACGACAGTTAATTTTATCCAGTTTTATGACCTTTGTTACCCCAGTTGCTAAGTGAATCACTGCAGTTGTTAAGAGTGAATCTGATTTTCCCATTAACTATACCCCTGAGAAGATTGCAAAAGGCAATGACATGACCCCAGGACACGGCATTAAGTGTATGACATAAGTGCATGCCTGTTGCCAAGCATCTGAATTTTGGTCATATGGCACAGGGATATTACAATGGTCCCAAGTGTGAAAAATGGTCATAAGTCACTTTTTTCAGCGCTGTTGTAATTCTGGGCACTAAACTGATGGTTTTAAGTTGAGGACTATCTGTACAGTTATCTGTCATTTTATTTATCCTAATTCAAGATCAGATTTTCCTTTTAGGTAAAATGTACCAGTTTCTTCTCAGTCACTTTCTACATTTTTTCCTAATTCTGGGTCTCTTTAAATTAAGGCAACCTTAAAGTTACATTTTTAGGCCATGAACTTAAGAATTAAATTAGATATATGGGCCAAGATTATTCAATACAGTATTAAGATTCTGGATCAGGGCTATCACTTGAGATGCGAAAGTAGAGAACAGTGAAGATACTGTTGAAGGGTAGTAACTAGCAACTAATAACTGGGTATCAAAGTTTCAGTATTATTAGAAAACAGTTACTAAAAAGTTATTATTAGTAACTATTTTCTGACAATACTGAAGTTTTAGTAACCAGTTACAGGGATTTTTCAGAATTAGGCATCACTCTTCTAGATGAAAATGAAGAATTTCCCAAACATTTTAAAGCCTGAACAAGCTCAGAAATGACTAGTCTTCCAGATAATAAGGTTGCAAATACTTGGGGGTTCACTACAGTCACTATTACCAGTTGAAATCATACATAAAATAAAAATAGAAATCAACTTTCAGATTTTTTGCCATCAGTACAAAAGTCCACTACCCGTTTGAGATTCGTTTCCAATCCTTTTGAAAACAGATCTGAACAGAGCGGTTTGCAATAGTAACTGAGATAAAAGTCACAGTATAAAACATATCTGATAAATCTAGGGGGAAAGAGTAATTTATATAGCCTTCCCTTAGTTGCGCAAATGCACTTCGACACCAGGCCGAACACCTGGATATCCGAATCCACAAGGACACCCACTTTGCAAAACCTGACTTTGCAACTGTTGCGGTGGCTCGGTATATTACTCAATAAAGGTGCTCCCCGGCAAGAAATCCTATAATTCCGTAACCAAAAAGCAAAAGATAAAAACAAAATAACTGAAGCAGGAACGGCACCCTTCAGGCCAGGGGTCTCCAACCTTGCCAACTTTAAGACTTGTGGGCTTCAACCCCAGAGATCCTTTAGCCAGCAAAGTTTCAGACCATTGTAAAATATGGAGCGAAAAGGAGCACAAACGGAGCACAGCAGAGATCGAGTAACGATCCGACTGGCTCGAAGAGGCCCCGCCCGTACACAGACTCGGCCATTTATACCGTTTATCAGGAGTAACCCTTCCAAGGGGCTTCACCCCGCGCTGCGAAAGCGGCGCCGCGCCTGCAGGGAGAGAAGGAGGGAGGGACGGTCCGTCAGTCCCACTCTCGGTAACTCCGGTCTCCAAAACCCGGAACTCCCAACCGCTCCGTGGCGGAGTGCGCAGGCCCGGTCCGCTCGCTGGCTTGCCTGCTTTCCCGGCTGTCTTTTACCGCGTACAGAGAGGAAGCGCCGAGGCGGGGTTGCCTCAGGGGAGCACCCGGTGCTGTTCGTTGCCAGGCCGGTCGGTAGACCGGCACTTTTCCCGACAAAAGTTTCCCTCAGCCTCACCCTTAGACGTTCAGTTTGCAGTTTAAAGTAGGAGCTCATCAGCACGATGGGAAAAAGATGTGGAGACTCTAGAAAGAGTGCAGAGAAAGAGCAACAAAGATGATTTAAAACATAACGAGCGGTTGCTGGAACTGGGTATGTCTAGATTGATTAAAAGAAGGACCAGGGGTGACACGATAGCAATGTTCCAATATCTCAGGGGCTGCCATAAAGAAAAGGGAGTCAAGCTAAGCACCTGAGGGCACGACAAGAAGCAATGGGTGGAAACAAGGAGAGAAGCAACCTAGAACTAAGGAGAAATTTCCTGACAGAACAATTAATCAGTGGAACAACTTGCCTCCAGAAGTTGTAAATGCTCCAACACTGGAAGTTTTTAAGAAGAGATTGGACAACCTTTTTTCTAAAATAGTATAGGGTTTCCTGCCTGAGCAGGGGGTTGGACTAGAAGACCTCAAAGGTCCCTTCCAATTCTATTGTACTGTTCTGTTCTATTTTCCTTCTGGAAGCCACGTGCAAATGGCAATAGCACCCTTTCTTTTTGTCTTTGTTTTACGAGGCGGTTTTTAAAAACATCTGGTCATGAAGGTTCAGGAGGTGCCTCACTTCTGGAGGCAGCAACCAAACATCTAAACCTTGGTTAGATTATTTTCCTTTGGGTGTTTTAATTTCACTCTGTGAAAAAATAGAGCTAGAGGTTACAGTGGAGCGCTGATTTTTGGGCAGGGGGCCGAGGGTGCATAAAATGGGACAAAATACACTTAGCAGCTGTCTTGTTTAGCAGCAGAAATTTTGAGCTGTTTTGTGGTTGATTGAGGACTGTGATGCTATCACTTCTCATGATTTCTTGACGGGATTTTAAAAGTATTTATTTTTCAACAGAAACTTTCAAACCATTTGGATTGTGCAAACCCCTTTCAGGAGTTGTAAGCTTGGAAGCACTTATTGATAGGCCCCAGTTTGTGCCAGTTGGAAGGAAAATTTCCAATTCCTTGAGTACGGGTTCCCCAAAGAGCTGTGTCTGCTTCTGTTCACCTTGATGACCCACAACTTCTGTGCCAAATCTACAAATCCTGTTGTAAAGTATGCAGATGACACGGCAGTGGTGGGACTTATCTGGGGTGTCAATGAAGATGCTTATAGGGAAGAGGTGAAGGCTCTGGTGGACTGGTGCAATAAAAGTAACCTGGTTCTAAATGTCAATAAAACAAAGGAGATCAGTGTAGATTTTACAAAGAGCTGGCATAGTCATACTCTGCTCAGTATCAAGGATGCAGCTGTAGAGGTGGTTAACAGTATTAAGTATCTAGGGGTGAAGATAACTAACAATATGAACTGGTCTCTCCACATGTCATCCTTGGTGAAGTGTGCAAACCAGAATCTGCATTTCCTGCATTAGATGAAGAGAGAACATCTTTCTCCTTCTGTCCTGGCCACTTTCTACAGAGGCACAACTGGGAGCATTGAAAGAAGGAAGTAACAGTTTCTGAATGAAAGTATAAAGAATGATTAGTCCCATAGAACAATAATGACAATATATAATGTTTCAACTAGAGACAGATAATGTGACATGAAAGAGGCATTGTGTCCCTTCCCTCCTTTTTTAAATCATCCAATAAATGAGAGATGTGAGGAAATTGGTATATTTGTATATGACCAGCAGATATTTTTATGTTTAGAAGAGTAATTCTCAAAAATCTCAGGGTTAGCTACATTAAAGTCATATTATTTTTCCACTGGATCACTAATCCTTAAAACGTTCATATATAAATCTGTTAAATAAATTAACATCTCACTTTGTCTGACAGCCATCTGTTCAAGATTGGAAAACATTCCTTCAGAGTTACTCACTGGCATATTTTTATTCAATTAACATGGTGTCTCAGTGTTCAGCATCACTGGTAGCAAGCTGTCATAATCCACTGAGGAAGGAAATGTTTGCTGATGAAGTAAAAGAGAAGAATGCAGAATTGGCAATTAAAATTCTGTTTTCATGTGACTTTTCCCCACTGCTTTCTTCTTTATCCAGAAGGATAAAGGCAGGAATGTAGAACTGTGTTTTCCAGTCAGTGATGAAATAAAACTCTCATGAGCCTGTTAGCTTGACCAATAGTGATGTCTGCTGAGAAGTGCAATTCAGTAATATCCGTAGAACTTCATTTTCTGATTTCTTTGCCTAGAAATGTATATGTTTTTTATTTCTATCCCACCCTTATTTCTGTACAAATTCAGGCAGCATAGATAATGCTCCTGCTTACTTCCTCCATTGCAACAATTTCTATGAGGTGAGTTAGGCTGAGAGAGTATTATTGAAAATCAACCAGATTACTTTCATGTTTAAGGGAGGATTAGAACTCATCATCTCTTGTTGTCTTAATTCAACATCTTTACTATAACTTAGAATGTGAAGGATGTTTTTTTGTTTTACTTTTAGTTTTCTTATGTACACTGAAGATGGCATTTAATTTCGTTGTATGAAGTACAGTGACAATAAACTAATTCAGTTTTACTGTTTTTTGAAAGAATTCAGGTAAGCTTAGAATGTTTTTAAAAGTGATATGCAATATAACACAGGCATATCTTTAGTGTAATGATTTACTTTTTATTTATGAGTACATCCATGTACCAGTATAGCAAATGTACTTTCTTATACTATCAGAGCTAAGATTTGATGAAATAAATATATTGTCAGAGTTAAATGTCTCCTAGACATTTATGGCATATGCTATTTCTTATTTAGACATTCAACAATGAACCAAACAAGTCCTAATTTATGAGCATTCTGCTCTGTGTTTGCATTATAATTACAAAAGCCAGAAATTATAATAATTTGAAATGCATATGAAGGGGTTCTCTCTATAAAAACACATTAATATTTGTGCTGATTTGGATACAAATCAGTTACTATCAGGTAGTAGTGAAACACTTTTGAGTACTTATTTTAAAAATCCGAATGTTCCACAAAGAGAAAATTAGCTGCAGATGGAACAATTTATGTCATTTCACTTTCAGTTGAGTTTTTTTAATGTATTCTTAAGCACTTTCTATGCTTTTGTAAATTATCTAAAATAAAATTATTTTCTGTGGATGGGCATGTTTGTGATATGTATACTATTTCAAGCAGTGTTGTAAGTGCTCTGGAAATGTTATGCACAAATTGTGGACAAGACCAATGGTGTTTTAATAGTAGCTTTTGATATGGAGTTGACCACAATACCAGTTAGATTGTTTGGCTGAGATAAGAAAACACAATTTTGCAGTGGTTCTGAATGTACATGAATAGCTAACTTTGTATTTGTTATTATTGATTGAATGGCTTGGTTTTCTCTATTATGTCCTGCTGCTTTCCATCTTGTCCTCCATGCTGTTTAATACTTATTTGAAAATCAAGATAATTCATATTATTTAAGAAAATTACATTGAAACATTTATAATATCTACATTTTCTGTCACATTCCAGAACAATCTCAATATTTTGAACTAATCCTTTAGTAAGAATGTAGTTTAGAAGCAAAAATGTGGTTTAGAAGCTAATATCTATAAAATCATTCAAATATCCAATCACTCAGGATTTTTCTTGAGATGGCAGCTCTCTTCCATGAGCTTCGTTCTTGTCAAATTATTTATTGAAAAATGCTTTCTGAATTGCTGGAGTCATACAGATCTTTTTAAGGAATGAGCAACCAGTAAGCATTACCTGGCATGAATGTCATATATGTGTGTTTCTGATTTATTTTTTACCTCTTTGAGTGAAGTTTCTTTGTTCATTTTTTCCAGATTTGATAAGTACTCCTAGCTAAACTTAAATTCAGCTTCTTATGAACAGGTTTAAGTTCTAGCAAATTTTCAGCAGGGGGCTATAAGTGTCATTCCCCTATCGGAATCTGACTCTGAGGGGGAGGCCGAACAGCTGACGGAGTGGGAGTGTGGCTCTGTTGGCTGTGGAAGAAACTGAGGAAGGGCAAGGTCCAGCTGGGCAGAGCAGGGAAGAGGTAGAGCAAGGGAGAGGAAATTCAGAGGAAGACCCAGGCCCACCCCCTCTTCATCCTAGGGCATGCAGGGAGGAACGGAGAAGGGAGCAAGGTGAGTTGCGTGGCTTACGGGGAAGGAAAGGGCCCTGATTCCCTTCATTAGCTGCAGCTGGGAACACAATGTATAAAAGAGGAAGCTGCGCTCAGCAAGTTGTTGGGAGCAAACGTGAATTTATCTGGTATGTCATGGCTTATCTATGTTTCTGACATGTTCCCTACTCTGTGAGTTTTTCAGTGCTTTCAAGTCTGAAATTCCTTCTCCTGCTCTGTCAAGTTAATTACTTCAGCTTGGTTTGTTTGGATTTTTAGTTACAGTTTGTATGAACCTTGTTTTGGACTGAATTTCCTACAGTTAAAGGCTGTTCCTGGGAGAGGTTTTCTCCAGCCGAAGGTAACCTGGACATTGGGGACAAATTGGAGATAATAAAGGGACTCATTGCTTATTTAACTGTGTTGCCTTTGTACCATGCCCTGGGTCATCACAATAATTTACAGCACAATGCCCAGCAATGTTATCCAAATACACCTTGTTTTGGTTTTTACTAGTGCAGATTCTGAATTAAAAGTACCTGGATACTGACTCCCAAAGGCACTATCTTCATTAAGATTTCTTAAGGAACATGGAAAACATTATAATGCAAATAGATTTTTTTTTTTGTTATTTCAGGGTTACAACATTTCTTTCCTGCTGCCTTTATAGAATTAGTAAGTTGAAAGGAGCCATTCAGTCACAAGTCCAGCCA